GATATAGGGGAACTGATCTGGGTGTCCTGGGGTGTCTGTAACTTGTTTTTAGACTGTCTGGGTAATAGAAGTGTCGGGGGTGCTGGAATCGGACCACCTAACTTTAAAAGGATGGCCACTCCGCAGAGTGTCTGGAGGCGATTTGGAGTCATTTTAACTCCGCAGTCGCCGGAAAATTCCTTCTTAAAATTTTTGATCATGTACCTGAGTGCGGTTGGTTTGGACTCGGTCCCCCCATAGTGTTCCTACTGGTCAGAGTCGCACAAAAAAGGGGAGGGGTTACTTTCAGTTGTCCTCCTCTCTGCTCCCCTCATGGGGATTTTAGGCACGTCTTGGCTAAAGGTGCTCCCATATATATAATTCCCCGGCTAGGTGACTCCCTTTTCGGGGAGAGTGAGTCACCATTATGCCTTGTGACATTGCCACAGAAATGCAGATACAGACCCAATTACACTCCCCTTAGTAGCTTTTGGCCCTGGAGCTGTAACACTCTCACACACACACACACACACACACACACACACACACACACAGAGGCTATTACATCGCCCCCCCCCCCCAGGGAATTTCTAGCCTTTCTGGAACAGACAGAGGTTTTACATTCCTCCTCTGGGAATTTCAACCTTCCTGGGACACACAGAGGTTTTACATTTCCCCCTCTGGGAATTTCAACCTTTCCTTTAGGAGGTGATCAGTCTCCTCTTCCATCCTTAGATGGGCCTGGCTTCCTTGGGACAGGGACCTTACCGCGGTTCAGATGGTCCAGATGGCCATTTCTGGTTGCCTGGTTGCCTGTACCTCACTGGTGTCCGGGCGCGTCCGGAGAGCGTCGGCCGGCGGAGCCCCTCCGAACGGAGAAGAAATTGTCCCCAACCGGGGTCTAGGCGCCTGGATTCCCCGCCGGTCGTCAGGGTCGGTCGGCCGACGTCCCTCCCTAGCCGGTGGCCCCAACGGCCAGCGCTATCGGGTTTCCCGATCAGGGAACCAAAATGTTACAGCAGACCGGGACTAGACCTACACGCACACAGAAATATTGGCAAAAAACAGGTTTATACGCCAGCGGGCTCAGATGGGGATTTTTCCCTCCAAAATTCTGAGCACCAGACAAAGAGCATTGCAGTCTTTTATACACTCTGCTTAAGGGGGAGGGGCACGGTTACAACAGGGTTAACTTTAGTGAGGCAGAGTCTTAAGTTAACTTTACAGCCTAGTATACTGATTGCTACAGGTGATTTACGAGGAGAAAGTTCGCAGGGGAGGAGGGGCCTCAGGCAAGGAATGCAAAGGACAAAGCCTGGTAGTGGAATTTTCTACTTCAGTGGAATTTCCCAATTTTCCCCTTCACTACCACTTGCCAGATACTGGACAAGTTACTTACCCTCTAAGCTGCCGTTTTCACCCTATAAAACAAGGATAGTATTATACTTAGGGGAAGGGATATTGGTATTTTTTGCCAGATTGTTGTTGGCACCTTAAACTGTTCTGAAGTATAATTGTGTCCAGGTCCTCTTAAACCTCATCAACTTTATATTTTCTCATATGAAAAATGTTAATAGTTATATAGATATAAAATCATTCCTTAAAGTTTTAACTTGCATTTCTTTAAATTCAGGTAAAGCTACACATTCTCCCCACTCTCCCCCACCATTTGGTTTACTTTCTGTATTTCTGTGTGTGATTTGCTTTTCTTCGTTAACATTGGTCAAATCTGGACTTTGAACTTTATTTCCTTTTTCCTGACCTACTCAGATAGCACCACATAGATGTCTTGCTTCCAATTCTCCCCACCTCCTGCCAACCTATCCTAGGTAGCTTCTACCAAAACTGCCTAAAGCATGATTGAACTCCCTTGTTCAAAAACCCCTGTGGTTCTCCCTCGGTTCCTGAACAAAGCTCAACTCCACAGCTTGGCATTCAAGTCTCCCCACACCCCCCTCCCCACAACCATGATTTGTACTCGACTTCCTGACATTAACGCTTACCATTCCCTTTCTAATGCTACCCTATGCTCTGGTGAAAGTCAACTATCAACCATTCTTTACATGTAACCCTTAATTTTCTGCCTCCATGTCATTCATCATATCATGCATGTCGTAAGATCACCGCTTCTGAATGAATCGTCTTCATTTTATGTCTTTGTGCCCAAATACAACATATCTTTTAAGGCCCAACTCAAGAGCAATCATGTCCATGAGACCATCCCCAATGCTCTTCCTCCTCAACCTTGCTGGTCCCAGTCCTAAGAGGTCCCTTCTTGCTCCAAACTTCCATAACATTCTATTTGATCCTCTCTTATAGCACTTTAAACTTTTGACATTATGTTATATTAATAGAATTATATGTACATCGTATTCCCTATACTGGACTGTAAATACATTGGGGGCAGGATCAATATCTATTTCATCCTATAACACCTGGGACAATGCTTTACCCATAGTATATGCTCAAAGATCCCATAATATTCAAAATCCAATAACTACACGTTAATCAATCATTTATATAATCTAGGTAACAGACTATTTTTTAACTCTGTTTCTGTATTGATTCTTAAGTATGCTATTTCTTTTTCTTCTTGTTCTTTTGCTTGATTAACTCTGATAATCTGGGATTCTTTGTAGGATGCAATATGAAGTGTGGCTCTAAGCCGATGCTTCTCCATTCTGGTATCCACTTTCCCTGCAATAGTTATTAAATTGTGAGCCCTCTCTCCATTCTGATGTTGCCTCAACTGCAGCATTCTTAAGTTAATGTGATTATTTGAATCTACTTTTGAATCTTTTGTTTCATTGACACAGTTCTGTGCACTTCACACGATATCATAAGTGTTTACAATGCACCTTAAAATTTGGTGGGCCAAGTATTTGCATTAGTTTTTCCTTTAAAAAATATTCCTTGGAATTCTTGTTGGTCTATTCTTCAAATAAATTGTCTCCTCCAATTGCCAAATTTTAAAAATATTCCTGTGGGGAGTGAAATTGTTTTTGCATTGAGAATATGTATTCATTTGCAGAGCTTTGCCATCTTTATTCTTTTTGGTCTTCCAAATCAGGACAATGGTTTAACTCCCTGTTTATTTATATCCTATTTATATCTGCTATTAGAGTTATACAGTTTCATAAAATGAATTTCTTTGTCCTGATTTATACCATATTTCATTGGCCATAAGCATAATTTTTTTTACATTTTTACATCAGTACAATTGTGATATGTCTTATAATTGATTGTATGTGATAGTTTAATTGGTATCATTTTTTGCCTTTTTAGTATAATTTTTAATAAAGCATAGCATACATACAGAAAAATATACATAAGCATGCCCCTTAATGAATTTTCACAAAGTGATATTGTGCCCCTTCACATACAGGATAAGAACCTGATAATATTAATAGTGTACTTCCATAGCTCCCCTTACAGCCTTCGTAGTACTGTTGTCATACATTTTACTTCTACGTATATTATAAATGCCACACTACACTGTTATTATTTTTGTTTAAACAGTAGATTATCTTCCCATATGCTCTAATTTAAATGTACCTACACCTGCGTGAATCCTTATCTTTTTCCCTCCTTTATCAGAATGCCCCCCAGAGTCTGAAGCCGGTCTCTTTACTCATCTTAATCCTGTTCTTCTCCATCCCCTTCTGCAAGGCCCTTTCCCCTACATCTTCATTCACCCCTTCTTCCTTAGAGCCTTCCCGGGTCTATTAGTGTACTCAAGTTTCTTTCTTTTATAATAAACAGACAAAAAAAATCAACCTCACCTCAACTTTGTAACAAGGGAGAAGTGGGGATGGCAAGATGGGTTGGTGGGTAAGCCTTACAAATTCCTGGGTGGGAGTCTGAAAGGCTGTCTAGGGCTTATGTTGCATATCAATGCAAGACCCAAGGGAAAAATTTTAGGCAGCCTATCCTTGTTGGGAGAACCCCCTCCCTCTCATTTTTTTTTTTTTTTTAAATTAGGGCCTGAGCCAGCTATCAGCAGCTGAAAAAGCTACAGCTCCTCAGCCCTCAAATTCCTAGGGAAATCATTAAAAGAATGTGTGAATAGGGGCAAACACTATCATCGCAGGAAGTGTAGGATGGGCATTAACCATATACTGCAAACCTGGAGAAACTTTTGCTTGCAACAGAACTGAAGGGCCTGGCCTGGAAAGGCCATTGGAGGTAGAGTCATGACCCCCTTGTGAGAGAGAGCAGCTCTCTGGCAAGATGCCATTGCCTGTCAGAACCATGGCTACCTCTAACTTGGAGAGAGAAGAGTTCTGGAAGGAAGAAGTTGAGGGTGGGCTGAAGACCCATTTGGAAATCCCACATGCAGGTCCTTCCTGTCTTTGTGGACCTTTGGCATGTGTCTCCACTGCTAGTGTGAAGACATCTGCTGTCATCTGAAATGGACTCATCAAGCAGAGATGTGGGCACTGAGTGCAGGGAGAGTTCTTCTCCAAGCCAACACACCCACCACAACTCATCAATTAAGCACCTGGCTGTGTTCTGGGTTAGGCTCCCTCCTCACTGCACCTGGGCTTCCCTTAGGCCTGCCTGTTCAGGGATTCCTGAGGTTGGTGGTGTTTTCTGTCCCGTCAATGCACACCTGACCGTTCAGGGCTATGGATGTGTGTGGTTTTAGGGAGGGATGCCCAAATTGCCTTTAAGAATAATAGACCCTCTTCTGAATATGGAAGTTGATCAATCCCCTGTCCTTTGGGAACAGGGAAGGAGTAGATCCCTAATAGGACCAGTGTCCCCTTCTATGGTAGAAGATTACCAAGGATATTGCTAGTCAAGGCTGAATAAGGTTTTTATGACATGCTGCCCATTGGCAATGTTTGATTTTTTGCCCTTTTTGGCATTGTGGGACACAACCTAACTTCCCCCAGCTGAATAATTTTCTTCGTTCCTGAGAGCAAATTCTGCCTTGGGTTAGGTAATCTAAGTTCTGAGAATCAATATAAACGGGCTAGAGTAATTCTTATATCTTTTAACTTTTGGGTTCTCATCAGGAGGATTCTACAGCCTTTCACCAAGGCAAGAAGTTTTTGCAAAACACATGCCAGCTTGTTCAAGAAGATCCTCTTGGGCCTGTTGTGTTTGGGTGAGATATTGAGAATTCATGCAAGTGAGAAACACAATTATTTTAGGAATGTTAACTTGTGTCAAGATGAGCACCAGGTGGAAAACACTTTTAGTCACAAACTGATACGAAGGGCTATTTGATGTATAGATCCTAACTAGTTGTAGGTGAACCATAATTTATTGAATTGCACTTATAGGAACAAGTAAAATCTGAGAATAAACTATTTTTCAGACTGAATGCAGTGGCTCATGCCTATAATCTGGGAGGCCAAGGCAGAAGGATTTCTTGAGGTCAGGAGTTCGAGAGCAGCCTGAGCAAGAGCGAGACCCCGTCTGTACTAAAACAGAAAAAAATTAGCCAGGCGTGGTGGCATGCACCTGTAGTCCCAGCTACTCGGGAGGCTGAGGCAGGAGGATCGCTTGAGCCCAGGAGTTTGAGGTTGCTGTGAGCTATGATGATGCCATTGTACTCTAGCTGGGGCAATAGAGCAAGACTCCGTCTCAAAAACAAACAAACAAAAACAAAAACAAAACACAAAAAAATCAGAAAACTATTTTTCAAAACTACCATTTGATAGACTTAATATATTTCAGGGACTATGAGCTTATCCCTTTTTTAGTGTTTTGATTTGCTGCAAGGCATGATCTTGTAGTCTTTATGAGAGAAGCCTATGTAATACATAACTTATGTGCTGGTTTACTAGTAAGATCAATAATATAAAATAGTTTTAAAAGACAGCAAACCTCTGTTTAAAACATACTGTCAGTGGTATATGGGGCTTTGATGTCAAAATTAGAGGCAGCTGGGATGGTGGGAACAAAGCATATTTTGAGGTGAGTCAGGGAGGCACAGCTGAGGCCCATGTGGCTGCACTTCCTAGTGGTAGCCTTGTTTATACGGTTTTGTTCAAGAGGAAAGGTTAAAATGACTGGGGTAATAAAGTTTCAAGACGAGATGACTGACTTTTGAAGAGTCTAGTGGTGGATGCTGATCAAATCTACTCCAAAGGACAGAGAGAGGATGTCAGATAAAATAGAAGGGAATGAGGTTTCACTAGGGAAAAGTGAAAATATGCAGTCTCCAAACTGAGATGGAGTCTCCTTGGGAAGCCTCAGGAAGAGAAGAGTTAGACATCTGTCCCGGCCTCGAGAAGTGCAGCTCAGTGTGACAGTAGGGCTGGGTGACAGGGTCTCCGGAGGGTTTTTCTTGCTTTAAGTCCCAGGCATTCATGACCCTCAGAAGCGCTGCCTTGCTAATCCTTCCTCTGCCCCTTCTCTTTTTAGCCTATGCTGCCTACTTCCTGGCAGCTTGCATCTTGGATTTCCAGAGGGCACTGGCCTTGTTTGTCATCACTTGTTTGGTGATCTTCATCCTGGTTCACCACTTGCTGAAAAAACTCTTTGGCAACAAATTAATAAGATATCTGGAGCCCTTTAAAAACTCCTGCCTGAGGGCTTGGATGAAATGGTAAGATAAGAATCTCAATATCCCTGGTCCCATAGCTTATCCCAAACCCCAGTCCGCTGCCCTTTTTCACCTTTGACATTCCTGGGCTCTCTCTTAGACCCTCACCTATACTTTTCAAAACCAAGGCACGGAGAACAAATAGCAACAGGCCTCCGTGCACCAGACCTCAGTTCAGTTTCTTGTCACTTTGGATCTCAACATTGCTTAGAGGCAGGAGGGGTTCAGAGAAGTTTTCAGTTCAGAGTTTCAATGTGTTTATCCTTGGCCTGTGTCAGAAATGAGAAAAACCATACTCTTCTTCAATGAAGTGGTCAGAACAAAGAGGCTTGCAGCTGCATCAAGGTTTCAAATGGATCTGGTGGTCATCTGTTCCTGCCTCAGTTCCCTGATACTCTCTGTGCTGTTCCCCCACTAGTCCTCCAAACTTCCTGCACCCACAGTGCCTTTTACAATTCCTTAGAGTTTAAGGAACAAACTTGCTGTTCAGTATATACTGAACTGGATTCTATAGCAGCCACAGCTCATCTAACTATGGCATGTGCATGTCCTTTGATCACAGGCCAGGGGTGAGAGAATAACTTTCAGACTCTCTACAGAATTCCTCTTTTCTGCTCATTCTTCAATGAAGGCACAGAAAATAGTTGTTAAGGATGTTTGCAACAGTGATAATTTGGAGAAACCACACTAGACTACCACCTAGATTTTGGATCATTGATTTATTTGACACTGGGGAGATAGAACGAAGAGGACTTTATTCATTAGCACGATGCATTCTGGAAGCCAGATTTTATCCACTTTAAGTGCAATGGGTTTACAGTGAGAACAGCTTCAAATTTCAACCTGACCTCTAGTGACTTTTGTTGTTTTGCTCCTGAAGTATCTCGATAGGCAACATACTCTTTCTGTTTTGTTTTCATCTGTGATCTTCCTTCTAATACTTTTCCCTTGAACTTGAAGGCCAGTAACACTCAGACATGAGGAAACCAGTCCATGTATTGATAAATGTGTTTGGTATGTGAGAGGACCATAAGATCATAAGTAGTTGATCTGTGGCCCTTGCCCGTGGAGTGGTTAGACATTGGGTGGAGATCCACAGGGGACCAATATGCATACTTTTTCCTCCTTTGGTTTTTAATATTTTGGTTATTTATTAGAAAAATCTTCAAGAAGGAGTCTTTATATCACATTTATTGATAATGGGAACTTGAGGAACAGGAAGTCATGTGATTTGTGTCCTTAGATTGGAATCTTTCAGCTTTATTCTGTGAGTAAAAGAGTTGGGGACAGGCCGGGCGCGGTGGCTTATGCCTGTAATCCTAGCACTCTGGGAGGCCAAGGTGGGCGGATTGTTTGAGCTCAGGAGTTCGAGACCAGCCTGAGCAAGAGCAAGACCTCGTCTCTACTAAAAATAGAAAGAAATTAATCGGACAACTAAAAATATATAGAAAAAATTAGCCGAGTATGGTGGCACATGCCTGTAGTCCCAGCTACTCGGGAGGCTGAGGCAGTAGGATTGCTTGAGCCCAGGAGTTTGAGGTTGCTGTGAGCTAGGCTAACGCCACAGCACTCTAGCCCGGGCAACATAGTGAGACTCTGTCTCAAAAAAAAAAAAAAGAGTTGGGGACAGAGAGGTGGAAGTTAAGGAACTACCAAATGAATGATTCTCAAGATGTGTCTCTGTGTCTAATCAACAACAAACTAATGAGTTGTTTCCCTTATTCTTGGGGTAAATTTCTACTTTTTAGAGTAAATTATTTGTTATTCATTCACTGAGTCAATGACGTGGTCTTGGCATTCCTTCTTCAGGGCGGTTGCAGGAATCTCCTTGGTTGGCCTTATACTGTGGTTGGCTCTTGACACAGCCCAAAGGCCAGAGCAGCTGATCTCCTTTGCAGGAATCTGCATGTTCATCCTCATCCTCTTTGCCTGCTCCAAACACCACAGAGCAGTGAGTTCTGGGTATTCGGGTTGGGCATAGCAACACATAGCCAAGGCCCAACTACTAACTACAAAGTGCATGGGTCAAGTATTAATTACAAAGGCATAGAACTAAGGTCTTAACAACTCCTGGAAGTTGCCTCTTTGACAATTTTGTTCCCAAGAGAAATTTTAAAGTTATCAGAGGCTCTAGACTACTTGTTTTCAAACTTTTTTCAAACTGTAGATTGTGATCCGTTAGTGAGCCTTGTATCAATTTTGTGAATCTAGGCCAATGTTAAAGAACAAAAGGAAAAAATAAGGTAGGAAAGAAAGAAAATAGAAAATAACATAGAATCAGCTTGCGTTGGACATCGCAATGTTAAAGCTTCAGTTTACAAAACTGTTGTTTGCATATATGTATAAGTGCCATCTAACCTCTAGACACAGTTTTAAAGACCATGTGGACATAGGTGGTTCTTTACGTATTATGGACCTGTGTCTCCCTACCATTCGCCCTGCTCCCTATGCCATCTTACCCCAGATTGACTGTCAACACCCTAGGTTGGTTCCACCCAGAGTGTGTGTATCGATGTTTAAAACTCCAACCTTGTCTAGATCACGGAGAAGTAGAGTTTAGAACTCACATTGGAATACTTTTCTTATTGATCTCAGGTAAACTGGAGGACAGTGTTTTGGGGCCTGGGTCTTCAGTTTGTCTTTGGGATCTTGGTCATCAGAACTGATCCTGGATTTAATGCATTTCAGTGGCTGGGAGAGCAGATCCAGGTATGAGAAGATGAATGTGAGGTCTTTGTTCTTTTATAACCCTTGAGAAAAAATATTTGAAGGAAGTGTGAGAAGATTAGGCTGTGTGTTTATGATGGTGGTAGGAGATCCAGTTGGGAAAGGAGAGAGTATTCTGGGGAACAGCTAAGAATATGAATAAAGAGAACTAAATATCTGGGTCCTCTTTCATTCAATGAGCAGCTCATGGGGACAGCCTAGCCCGAGGCTGTCAAAGGGAGGCCAGCCCCAGTAGCAGCAGTAGGTCCTAATTACATGTGAGACTGGTCCTACCCTGTATCCTTCCAGGCTTCACTTTTGTTCTCTGTCTTTTTTTTTCCCTTCAGATTTTCCTGAACTACACTGTGGCTGGCTCCAGTTTTGTCTTTGGGGATGTGCTGGTCAAGGATATCTTTGCTTTTCAGGTCATATCTGATTTATAGGCAGCATGATGGTCAGTGAAGGGGTAGGAGAGTCAAGCAGAGGATGAAAATGTGTGTTCAAGAGATCAGCTGGCCTTTGTACCAGTTTGATGCTAAGAGGGTTTAATCCCATTGGTAAAGGAAACAGCATCAATCTCTCACCCTTTGATCATTACCTTCCTAAAATTAGATGAAATAGGGGTCAGGGAGAAAGGCTCAGAAAACATCTGTGGCTTAGTACTGGTGGCATAGTAGATTTGCAATACATTTTAAATTTATTTATAAACTAGATTGTGTAGATACTGAGTATCTACACTGTATCAGATGCCCTTAGAATGCTGAGAGCTTCATTTAGAGGCCTGAAACACAATCCATTTATGGTTGACATGGCATGTATAATGTGACGTCTCACTGGCTGTGACCATTCTCATTCCAGTCCTTGCCAATCATCCTTTTCTTTGGATGTGTGATGTCCATTCTCTACTACCTGGGTCTCGTGCAGTGGGTAGTCCAGAAGGTGAGTCATTCTCCCACACCAGTCAGGAAGTGTGCCTTCGTCTTGTGACCTGTCAAGGGGCGTGAAGATGACACTATTTTGGAAAAATACTCATGTGCAGGATCCAGAGTGCTAGAACCAGTATGAAAAGGAAACCCTTTCAGGCACGCCTGATATCACATGGTCATTCCAGGCCCCAGGGGGGCTGTGGGGCAGAGCAGGGAGAGAAAATGGACTGGACTATTCTTTCATACTGAGTTTTAATGTACTTATTTTAGAGGCTACAAGTCCTGAGTTCTGGTCAAGGCACTGTTTGTAACTTGTTTTGTGGCTTTGGGTTTGTGCTCTACTTCTCTAGGCCTCAGTTTCCTTATCAGTAGTAAGATAGAGCAGGATGGGGTTTTGCTGGACATTCTTCAAGATTCCTGCCAATGTTAATGGTTTAGGTCTCTGTGTCCTTTTAGATTGCATGGTTTTTGCAAATCACCATGGGCACTACTGCCACGGAGACTCTGGCTGTGGCAGGAAACATCTTTGTGGGTATGGTAAGCACCCTGAGGCCTTCTGGCTTTATTTTCTCTGGGGAACTGAGAATATGGCACCAAACAGGTTCAGAAAAGTATGCTTTCCTTTTGAAAAATCAAATATATAAAGACTGTGGGGCAGCCTGTCTCTGATAAAAGAAAATTCAGCAGCTCAAAGAAGACGCAGCTCATTGCTGTCACCCTTTATGCCTAGTAATACTCACCTGGGTGTACATAATGTGGATGGACATCCTTAGCCACTTCTAAGCACAGCTTCTTACGTGGCAATTTAGGAAAGTTCCTAGGCCAAAACTTATCCCCCTTCAGAGGCTACGAAGGGTGTTTGATCTATATTCTGGCTTCTCTCTGTGACTCCTCATGGCCCTTGTTTTCCAGGGTCTCTGAGGAGGCACTAGCTTGTTTTGCTCAGGACTAACACCAAGGCTCTTCCCCATTACACTTGCTTGGTACATTCGTCTGCATGGAGTAGCTGCTCAACATATGCTATTGACTGCTCAGCTCCATGCTAGGGACAAGGGCTTGCCAAATTCACAAGAAGTTAGTATGGAGGTCTTTCCCTCCCAAGGCTCTGGGCTGCTACTAAAATGTTCTCAGAGTACTTCTGGATACTTCTACCACAGTATTCCATATTTTGCTGAAATTATTCATAATCAGCTTAGTTTCCCCTGTCAGACTATAAGCTCCTAAGAGTAGGGACTTTACCCTATTCATATGAGTGTCCCTAGCATCTAGTACAGTGCCACGCATACACTTGGCACTCATCAAATAATAAATAGCGTTGTCTTAGGTCAATGTTAGGTATGCTTTTCATAGTTGAGCCTTCATAATTTCATAACATTTTTGTCAACATTATTTCTTTTGATTCTTTCATAAATAGAGGGCTTAGATCATCTATTTGCATTTTATCTAATGAGTACTTTTTAAGTATTTAATATGTACTCATTAAGTACACTATATTGTGTAAATTCATTAAGTGCATGGTTTTAGACATTGAGAACATACAAAAGAAATATACCATTTCTCTTCTATAACATTCTAAAATGTCAGTGGAGGTGAGGCAGACACTGGGAGGGCCTGAGGGCAGAGCTCAGTGCTCGCCCAGTGGGGCTACACCTCGCCAAACAGCACTCACCCTGGAGGGGTGTGTATCTAGATGGTCCAGCCCCTGGTGTGGACACTCTGGTGTGGGGGGATGGCGTGGCACCTTCTTGGAATCTGACTGTTTTCTCCTTGTTTATAGACAGAGGCACCTCTGCTCATCCGTCCCTACCTTGCAGACATGACCTACTCTGAAATCCATGCGGTGATGACTGGAGGGTTTGCCACCATTTCAGGCTCTGTGTTGGGGGCCTTCATATCCTTCGGGGTAGGCATCGTCTGCTTGGCCGTTCCTGAGTGAGCCTGAGTTGGGTTCTACAGAGACACTGATTCCTGAGTCTGGCCTTACAGATCGACGCGTCATCCTTGATTTCTGCCTCTGTGATGGCCGCCCCTTGTACTCTCGCCTTGTCAAAGCTAGTATATCCAGAAGTGGAAGAGTCCAAGTTCAAGAGTGAGGAGGGGGTAAAACTGCCTCCTGGGTGAGTCTAAGAGGCATATAATTTGGGAGGTGGTGAGGTAGAGGCTGAGTTAAGGACAGCACTGTGGTGGCAGAGACTTCCAGTCTCTCTGAAAGGGAACAGTGTTATTCCATATCCCCTCTTGCCTGTGTCAGCCTCCAGCTCATCATGTTGATTTTCTTCTTTTCTTTTGTTTATCTCTCCCACCTGCCTCTAGCTTCCGCATGCCAGTACTTTCTGTCCTTGGTGTCAGTGCACTTTCGTAGCAATTATATCTGATATTACTTCAGAGTAATTTCCACTAACAGTGTCACTAAGGAACCCCCATCGCCTCTCACACTGGCCTTGCACCCTCTTCTTGCACTGTAGAGACAGAGGGATTTCTTTTCTCTGAGGGGCTGAGACTACTCCAGACACTATACTCTTTCCCTTTGCCCAATAACCACAGGAAGGAGAAGAATGTCCTGGAAGCTGCCAGCAGTGGAGCCATAGAGGCCATCGGCCTGGCTGCTAATGTAGCAGCCAACCTGATCGCATTTTTGGCAGTGTTGGCCTTCGTCAACGCTGCCCTCTCCTGGCTGGGGGAATTGGTGGATATACAGGGGCTCACTTTCCAGGTAAATAAAGGATTACATTTGTTGGGCTGTCCCTCTGGGGTGTGGTTAAGTAGTCCTTGAACTGTGCATGTCCTCCTGACCTGCAGTAAGCTAAGGGACAACATGAAGAGGAGGAGCGGGGAGGAGATTGGGCCAAGGCTCCAGAGAAGATCCTTGGCACTTGGTCTTCCTTAATAGTTCTTCCTTTTCCTAGGATCTCTATCTTTCACTCAGGTCATCTGCTCCTATGTCCTAAGGCCCCTGGTTTTCATGATGGGAGTGGAGTGGACAGACTGTCCAATGGTGGCTGAGATGGTGGGAATCAAGTTCTTCACAAATGAGTTTGTGGCCTATCAGCAACTGTCTCAGTATAAGAACAAACGTCTTTCTGGAGTGGAAGAGTGGATTGGGGATGAGAAACAGTGGATTTCTGTAAGTGACAATCCAGAAAAGCATACGCAGTGTTAGGTCTCGGCCATGGTTACCGAGAGTAGACAGACAGTGCTACGCACGAGTTTGTCGCGGACCCACAGGTGCCTTTCCGGTGTCGCTGGCCTAACCATAAAGCAAGCAGACCAGTATGCTCAGCAGCCTCGTCCGCGTGCCTGCGCGACACTGAGGTCTGTGTGCTACGCCTCCCCCACACTCGGACCCAGCTCCTCTCTCTAATGGAATTATTGGGTCTTTACAGTTTGGAGCAGTCTAGGGTAGACACTATTTTTTGGTGCTCTAAGGCTTCCTTCTTCATTTATAAGTTTAAAATTGCTCTCCTTGTGCCTCTCTCCTTCTTTCCTCTCAGTCATCCTCATTCCTGGGCCTTCTCCTTATTCAGAGGCTTCAACAAGAACAGTGTTGTGTAGTGAGGCCTGTGCTGGTTTCCATCTCATTATCCCTATAGTAACTCAGGGAGCCGTTATTTTCTGAGCATCTTTTCCACATTCCTTAGGATAATGTGGAAAAGATTGAGGGATCTAAGTGCTCTGGAACTTCTATCATGATTATAAGACTATACACATGGGACTGAATTTATCTACTTATGTATTTTTGTTTTCCCTAGGTGAGAGCTGAAATCATCACAACATATTCCCTCTGTGGATTTGCCAATCTTAGTTCCATAGGAATCACACTAGGAGGCCTGAGTGAGTTCATCCATTTTCCCAGCTCCCCAATAAGCCAGCCAGATCCCACCTTCTGTAGGGGACATTCCTGGTGCTTCAGTCTAAGTTGGGACCAGACAGAGAGGCTGATGTGAAATGGGCCCTCCTAGGCTGCCGTTAATGTGGAGCTAAGGCAGTCATGCTGCCTGGCTTAGAGCCCTTTGCAATCTCAACCTCAGTTACTTTTTTCCTTGGATTGGAGACCCCAAAGACCAATTTTATTTTATTTTTCCCTATGAAGGAGAAAACATTATGATACTATTTCTATTTTGCCATTGAATGGACATAGCGTATCTATAAGTAAAGATATGTTGGGTTTTATTCAGCAGTGAAGGCACTTTCTGAAAGCAGGCTGCTCGCTAGTTGTCTTCACAGAAGCAGGATTTGCAGAAGGGATCAAACAACAAATCAAAGCAGCAGACGCAGAAGGCAGATAGTAAGAGCGAGTGGTGTAATGTGTTGGATTGAGAGCTGTGAGCACCAGGTGTGGGAGGAGTGAGTCTTTGAAGCAGACACCAATCCATTTAGACTGATACAGCTGCATGTGGGTGATGGGGGGAGGAATAGTATGAGGAAGGTGGAATTGGCCTTGAATGTAGGGGCAGGGGAATGACTAGCACATCCCAAGAGTTTTGAAGATCCAAGTTAGAAATGGATCTTAGAAGAAATGAAGTATAGGAAGAAATACAGCTCAGTGTGTCCATTTTTTAAGGCAATTATATTCCGCAGTAGAGTCGTTCAATTTATGTATTTGGTAGCTGATTTAATTTAAAGGTGAAATAATTTCTTTTTCGTTTCTCTTTCCCCCTTCTGTTAAACACCTCATTATAAGATTGCCATCTAGTAGTGGGATATGCATTATGTGGCTAATGCTTAGGTGAATGTTGCTTTCCTCAGCCCTCTGGCTCAAAACAGTCCATCTAATTCTGGTCCAGGCTTAAGAGTGCAGATCTCAAGTGGCGAACACCAGGCATTTGCACCTGTCTGGAGCAACCCAGACCCTTGCTTGATCCAGATACGTCTTGGGTATGTTCACAGAACCACCAAAGTTAGGGTCAGACACACAATGCCTGACCCGAGGAGAGCCTGAGTTAGTGATCCTCAGGAGTTATGTATATACACACTTCTTAGGGCAACACCAGCCAGCCTCAGGTGGTTGGTAGTAGGGAAACTATTCGTCGGCTCTGTTTTGTTCCTCTGCATTCTTCTAAATTGGAGCTCATTGTCTGATTGTCTGCTGGGGGAGAGATCAAGTCAGTTTGTTTTGTTGTCTGCAGCCTCCATGGTACCTCACCGGAAGAGTGACTTTTCCAAGGTTGTGGTCAGGGCCCTCTTCACAGGGGTCTGTGTATCCCTCGTCAGTGCCTGTGTGGCAGGTAGGTGCCTCAGCTTGGTCTCTTGGCAGAAACAACTTACCTAGATCATGAGAGGATCTCTCTCGGAGTGTTGGTTTAACCATTCGTCCCATAGATGCATAGAAAAGGCATCCAATGTACTGTGTTCTCAGTTCATACCCCCAAAATAAAGAGCCTTGAGGAACGTGTGTAAAATCTTCCCCTTAGTGTCTCTGTCTCCTTTATCCAGGAATCCTCTATGTCCCCAGGGGAGCTGAAACTGACTGTGTTTCCTTCCTAAACACAAGTTTCACCAATAGAACCTATGAGACCTACGTGTGCTGCACAGGGCTCTTTCAGAGGTGAGTGAGCACCAGACCCCAGCTGCCTCCACTTATACGCTGTTCTCCACCGGGAATTGGCCGTGAGTGGGAGAAAGAAGGTCTTGAGGTAATCCTGTGGAGGCTGAATACAGTGTATGAGGAAGACCATGGATATCGGTGGCAGCCTAGATCTATATTCTCTTCTCTTATTAGGTGCGTTGTCAGCATTAGCTCTGGTATGCTCCAGCGACAGGTTCCATCTGTATTATTGGGTGCTGAAAAGTAGTGAAGAGTGGCTTCCCTGATAAGAAGCTACTGTATTTATTATGGTTGGAATATAGATAGGTTGTAGGTGAAGACTTAACAAAGGTCCTGTGTGAATAAGAAATTATAGACTTCTTCAGACAGAAACGAAGAAGACTGCAAGAGGATGAAGTTGCATTTATAAAATTATGAGTTCAGATGGTGTAAAAATGAACTTGTTTACCAAATTCTAGAATGTGGAAAGAAGAAAATATAGCATTAAGCTAAAAGAACTACTTTGGGAACCCACAAAAAGAAGGATTTGAGGCACTAGAATGTTTGGTGCCTTCAAAGCAAAAGGTGCATGTGTTGGTGGTGATGTACAGGTGAGTGAAGAGAGTTCTGGGGAAAAAGACCAAAAGATCATAAAAGGCCTTGTATGAAATTCTAAGGGATTTAGGTTTTGATCTGCAGAATTCCGAACACTGGCATGATCATCTGTGTTTTTTCAAAAAATCATTCCGGAAGCCATTTAGATAGCAAGGAGACCAATAAACACACTGCTGGAATAGTCCTGATGAGATATGATAAGAACTGATACTAAGTGGTTGTGAGGACGGACATGCCCTAGATCAGGTAGAATCGATGGGGTTGGTCGTTGGCTAGATAGCAGGAAGGGTTGGGGTGAGGAAGAGAAAGGACTCTCAAATGACTGTCGCTTTTCTGGCTTGGGCAAGTGGGTCTAAAGAGTGCCCTTTATTCACTGAGAGGAACAGGACTAGTTTCAGAAATGGAAGTAAAGGGGAGAGATTATGGCTTAATTTCATTTTGGATATGGTAACTTGGATGTACCTGTGGGACCACCATGTGAAACTACTCACAAGCCAACTGGAGCACAGGGTTCGGGAGATAAATCCGAGCTGGAGATAGATTTGTAAGTTAGCATTAAGTAAGTGATCTGTTCACTATATAGGTAGATGTTTGGGTGCTAGCTGCTTAATAGGTTAATGGATATTACCTCTCCTGTGTTTGGAGGTTATCATCAGAGAAGGCAAGCAATGCCTCTAAAAAATAATCCTTTTGATGTACTATGAAAGATAAATTATAAGCTGAGCTGGACAGATCATTGGTCTGGCATGGTTTTGATTTCTATGTTTTTGTAGCAGTTCAGTGGATTTTCTAAAGCAACATACTGAGGACCATTAGCATTTAGACTATCAAAGAGATGATGTTTTTGTCCAGTTAATTTATACTAATTAAGTTTGAGCTGTTTTCCTTTCTCAAGAGGAAAGTTGCCTTGTAATACCACCTGACTTTTTATAATAAATTCAATTCTAAATCATTATAAGGCATAAATTTTGCCTCAGAGATATCTGGAAGGGAAATTTCCAAAGGGACTATGGTTAGGAATTGGGCAAAGGAACACACGCATCGTATAGAGTTTCTTGCTAGTATTGTCTTGGATATGAATGAGAAATAAATTTAATTAGGTCTAATTTATTTGGTCATGGCTTATGGTCCCATTTATAGGTATTTTGTTTTCAGCTGCTTGGTACAAGCAGTACTGACCCAGTATGTATCTCTCTGGCTTTTCATTTCAGTACTTCTCTGAATGGCACCAACCCTCCTTCTTTTTCCGGTCCCTGGGAAGACAAGGAGTTCAGTGCCATGGCCCTTGCTAACTGCTGTGGATTCTACACCAATGCTGTTTGTGCCTAAGGCTGCTTGGTCCATTGCCATAATAGTTTCGATTTTAACAGCTTTTTGATGGCAAAGATGTTTACGTACTCAGGGTTCCCACTCTCCAATAACTCACCAAGATCTTTAACAGTAAATGTCAAAGATTCATTTTGGTTCACTCTATCCCAATAATGAATATTAGCATTTGTCTTTCCATTATTTCCTGAACCAAATAGGAAATTCCTCATGGGCCCTGTCTGAGCTTTTGTTTGAAAAATAAATATTACCATATCAAAAAGGTCTTATAAATCTTGCTTCTAGTTGTCATCTTAAAAATTATGTGATGCATTGTGCTCTAAATTTGATTTAGTATGTGCCAGGGG